AGTGGAGAGAAATCAAAGCAAATTTAAATAAAATAGTGTTCTCCAAGATACTACTACATGTACTATATATGCTAAACCCACAGACTGGGTTTACTTCTGTTAGGGTACGTCACAAAAAGGCCCTCCATCATTGCCAACTCTGTGAGCATAGGAAACCCAGGTAATTTCAGGCAGGTCATTTAGGGCTGTAGCTCCCTTGTTCATCATATACTTCGGTTTGAGACAGGAAGGGGCCCTTTCTAATAGTATCTTTTTATGAAACAAAACCAAGTGAAAATACCAGGTAGAGAGACAAAGTTTGGCTCTCCAAAGGAAGTTAAATTTAAAGAGCTGTTCCTGGTTAGGTACATATGTGATTACTCATAACTTCAGAATAATGTAGAAGCAGCTATTCCATTTTTAACACAGGAACCTATCAATCAGGCAGCTTTCAGCTATGTAAGATAGATTTATTCATTAAACACATAATAGGTAAGAGCTATATGTATGTTGCTAATATTGTTGCACTACTCCTTCCTCTGCAGATATTTATAAATAATGAATGGCATGATGCTGTCAGTGGTAAAAAATTTGAAGTCTTTAACCCTGCAAATGAAGAGAAAATCTGTGAGGTTGAAGAAGGAGACAAGGTAAGTTTTTCTTTCTTGCTTTTAACTCCAGCTTTACATTCAATTCTGCAACTTAAAAGGAGGAATGCAAGCATCCATCAGTGTGTATGTAAAACAGCAACTCAGAAATGTGTCAGTTTCATCCTATATACCTTCTTTTGCGAATATCATTCTTAGCTTTTTAACTAAGCCTTAATATTATTTGCAGAGACTGAGTTTTACTGGTTTTTACTCTCTTTGCTCATATGAGGAAAGTTCTGAAGACATAACTGGGGAATGAGGGTGGTATGTGTGTTAATAATATTGATTCTTTTGGTCATCTTTAATCAGTCATACCTAATAATTTATTTTGGTGTATTACTGGGTTTTTTGGTGGTTTGGGTTTGTGGTTGTTTTTGGGTTTGGGTTTTTTTTCTGTTGTTTTGTTACACAGTGATGCAATCTGTTTATTACACATTTATTCTAGGTTTTTCATTACAGGTAATATGAAGTGGGAAAATACTGATATTTTACCACACAAATTCTGCAAATATAGTCATTATCATCAGCATTTTTAGCTATGAACATGTCTTCTCATTACTGCCCCCTTAAAAAATTCGGGGCTTTTTGAAAGATCTATTGGAGCATAATCCTAAAAAGACACTGAAGCTTAAAGTAACCTATCAAATACACACTAATTTCACCAAAACTGGGCTCCTTAGAGCATGTTGAATTTATGAATTTAAGCAGAAGACTAAAAAGATTGTTGACATCTGTAAACAAACATTTATTTTTTATAATTATGAGGTTTCTTAGTGGAAAATTACAGCTACATGCCATATAATCAAAGATATAATGAAAATTTAAGCCCGGAAAGTCACAGCTCTGTATTTTTGCTATATGATGTATTTTTCTGCTCAAAAGGCCTTGCCTTGTGCAGCCATACAGTTTAAATATAAGTTAACAAGCAGGTGGGTTAGTTTTTTTAATAGAATAGACAGGGTTACTTAAACATTTTTGAAACCAACAACCAAATAATTTTTTTTTTAATAAACTCTGGGAAAGTAAATAGGAGAAGTGAATGTTCTATTTCCAATTCACAGGTAAACAAAAAGTGATGACTTTGACTGAAAATCAGATTGGTTTTATAATTACTGTTTAGGTTCTTGCTAATATTAATTTCATTTTCTACACTTTCAAAGTCAAATTTTTACATCCCAAAGTGAGAAGATGTTCTCACATTTCTCACAAAATGACAACTGTTTAGTCAAGAAATCATAGAATCTTAGAATCATAGAATGGTTTGGGTTGGAAGGGACCTTAAAATCATCTAGTTCCAACCCCCCTGCCACGGGCAGGGACACCCTCCACTAGACCAGGTTGCTCAAAGCCTCATCCAGCCTGGCCTTGAAGACATCCAGGAATGGGGCATCCACAGCTTCTCTGGGCAACCTGTTCCAGTGCCTCACCACCCTCTCCGGGAAGAATTTCTTCCTGATGTCCAATCTAAACCTCCCCGCTTTCAAATATATATAACTGGATTGATTTGTATAAAAAGTGTGGTTTAAACTTATCAGCAAAATTTCCATTAAACAACTTTTTATTCTTGAAAACTACTATAAACCTTATAAGCCATTTATCTGTGTCATAAATTCACCAAAATTCACTGTTAATATAAGCACCATATCTTTTAAAATATTTTAATTTACTGTACAAAAATTCTCTCTGAAATCAAATACTCTTTTGAGAAATAAGTGGAAATGCAGTTCATTCAACATTCTGTGTTTACTGAATCATAGTTACTCTGTTCTGTAACTTCATCATGAAACTTTGGATCAAATGCTATCTGTCTAACAAATGAGCAATACTGACCATACAGTATTAAGTTATTAAGAAGGTCATAGTGCAGACACTTTTGAAGTTTTTGTTAGAAAAAGATGGGTGAGAAAGCCTGCATGAATGTAGCTTTTCATAATTTTATATATCTAATCATATGTTCCTCAAACACCTTGTCCTTGCATTTTTTTATTCCCAATTACCTGCATGTAGTGCTCAGACTCTGAGATTATTTCAGGATCTTTTTGTCCTCAGCCAAAGAATTTCATAAGCATTCTGTTAACTACTGAATCATATCCCACCAGAACCATACATGGTTTTGATGTAAAATGATACTTCTTCTATCTCTTCCCTATTCAATGTTTAAAACCCAAATTACATTGCAAATCAGGTTGGCCTGATATTTGATCATCCTCAGATTAAATTACTCATGACCTGCAACTGTTCACTTATCATTCAGAATTTTTGTAGCTTTCATTCCTTACAAGAATTTAACAAGTTTTCAAATAAAGAGATAATACTGTTCAACATCCAGGTTTGCATTCTCTCCAATAATTTTGCAAGCTAATGTGTAACGACAACTGCTATTAACTAAATTGCCAAGTGAAATGTACAAATCTAGTAAATTACACAGTCATTGTCAGCCTAATATTCTAGAGCCTAGTCTTTAGATAAGGAGCCAAGAGATTTTAGGAATTTAATTTGTGTGTACAATAGAGTTGACAAAGGGCTGTACATTGCCTTGCAGGGGTATTTAAAAAAAAAACCAACTGGTGGAGATTACAAAGCACAGACACATGTGGGTGGGAACCGTTTTCCTTTCAGTTTGATGGCTTTTTCAGGCTACATTCACTAATCCTAAAGACCCCTAGTAATAATAAAGCAGCTCAACAAATGGTCAGTCAGATGTAAAGTAAATGTACTTCTGTAAAAAATCTAAACTAGCTCTGAAAGGAGTTATCACTCTTTATATTCCCAATGTAGATTAATGTAGCCAAATTAAATTTCATATAGTTGAAGAACATCTCTTTTTTTCCTTACTTTTCATTCACAACCCTATATTATCTTCACAAAATTTGTCTCAGTTTTAATTAATTCTGCACCTCTAGTAGAAGGATCGTATGACAATGTATTTAATTTTTATTTACATCATTCACACATGTATCATTTATGGTTTCCCCTTGTTGTTTTCAACAAAGGACCAAGACATACTGTAAAGCTGTAGAATATGTATGATAGAAAGACATGTGAAAACAAAGATAATTAAGTAAATATTAATTGAAAGAATTTTTCTGGGAAAGAGATATGTGATGAAGTATTTGATGATACTCTGACAGAATCTGAAGAAATGTAATTCTTTTTAATCTGGTAGATTTCAGCTACCTGAGGTAGGGGACTGGTCAGTATTACCCTGTAGTAATGACTGTACTATTTGCACAGATCCTTCCCATGTTCTCCCCAAACTTCCTGTAATGTACTTTGGGAAGTTTTGTGAGCCTTCTGCCTAGAAGGTCTGTGCTGGGCTTTCCAAGCCACTTAACAGTGCCACTCCTGACTACGTACATATATATACATAACTAAAATTAGCTTTTGCCTACCAACATCAGTTAAAGATTCAAGATGTGATTCATAGTTACACAGTTGAATTTGGTGTTGGCTTGGTCAACTTTGTTTAGTTAACCTTGAGAGTGATTTCCCTAGAGGATATTCTAGCAACCAACTATACAAAAATATTTGAAAGAAATCCTTTACACAATGCACGCAAATTGGTCAGGAAAATGTGCCCATGTATAGATTCCTCTTTTTTTCCTTCTAGTTTCTAACAAAAAAAACAAACAAAAAAACAAAAGTATAAACCTCTTTTTTTTTTTTTTTTCATTGTTTTCCCAGGAAATCTTTTGTAAGAATTCTGAAATATAGAATTCCAAGCACTAAAAGCCTTTTCTCAAGAGATTTTTGACTCGTGTTTCAGATCCTGGAACATCCTTGCACATCATTTACATATAATTCATTGTAGACTTTCTTACCGTAATGAAGTCCAAATGATAGAAAATAAATTATGTTTTAAAAAAACAGTAATGGACTGACAAATTAGCTTGATTAATGCAACAACAGTGCTTAGACTTCATAATACTTAGGCCTTGCATTTTAAACCTGGTCAATTTGTCAATTGTTAGTATTATTTTAAATACAAATGCTCCTTAAAATTTTCAAATACAAATGCAATGATTTGTATTCCTCAATAATAAATCTGTGTTTATTTTATGAAACATTCTAAGGAACAGATTTTTCTAACCTAATCATCATCACAGCAACAGATATTTTTAGATAATGATGTGTCCTTAAATATTTAACTTCCAGATTTGGGCATTTTTTTGTACATAATAATATTAAATTGCAGCATCAGTGTAATTGGTGGGTGTATCTCCAGTTACAGGCACTACAAGACAAAGGGTTTGAAAATCTAAATTTTAAAAGTAGAGTTCCTTAATATGGTTTTTTTTAGAAGCTTTCAGAACGCATGTGTTTCTCATACAACTTCACACTGCTGAAATGATAGCAGAAGTGTTTGAAAGAAAATAACCCATGCATTTAACTACTGTACTAATTCTGATTAGATTGGTAGTGGTGTTTCTTTCTTATCTGGCAAAATACCTTACACATTTAACAACCAACAAGGCTGAGGACAGAATCAATTCTTGATTATAAAAGTTTATCTCTTTTTCCCCACAGGCAGATGTAGACAAGGCAGTCAAAGCAGCTAGAAAAGCTTTTGAGCTTGGGTCACCGTGGCGTACAATGGATGCTTCAGAGCGAGGAAGGCTCTTGAACAAACTAGCTGACTTAGTTGAAAGAGATCGACTCATTTTAGCTGTGAGTATGACACTTGAACAAAAGGGAAAAAAAGCTCATGCCCTGATTTTTAAAGAAAGGTACAATCAGGTGTAACATGCAAAATCCTTGGAAAATCAGGCTATTTCAATACTTATTTGGCATCTGTATTGCAAAAGGACCTCACTAAACTGGCTTGCAATCTGGTCTATAAACACCCCCATCCACGAAGTACTTGAGTATTCTAGTAGCTTTAAGATGATACTTAAGCCACCTACGGCTGATGCAATTTCAACCGCTGATTCTTAAGGACACAGTAGCATGCACTACAAGCTTAACACTAGTCTAAACTAAGACCTAAATCAAGACCTAAACTCAAAGCCTGGCTAAGCATCACAGATTATATAAGTCAGATCTGGGAGCAATTTTTAATTTCATGGCTATATATTTTATCACTGCTCCTTCATTAAATTCAACTTGCATCAGGCAATGAGTGAAAAACCTTAACCTGAACCAAAAGCAGCAATGAATTACTTAGTAGGAAGAACATGGTGAGTGGGGAATTATGTCTTGTCTTTACCAACCACTGTGTATTGGGCATTTTACTACTCTTAACAGGAGACACATAAGCTATAGCACCACCACCTACTGACGGTGCAGTAAGGCAAGAAAAATATTTCAAATAGGAATGTACCATCATCTAGTTTCTCAGAAAAAATCTTGGGTAGCTAGAACTTGTTTCCTAAATAATGCTAGATTTTTTGGAATTGAGAGAGAGAAAATTTTAAGAGTTACATTTTTAATAGGAAATTACGCCCTTCTGTCAGTTAAAGACTGGAAAAGATGGCATTTGCTTCTTTACCGTACAGCCTAAGGCATTACACATGCAAAGAGGATGGAGAAGTAATCTTTTTTCCACAGGAAAGCTGAAGCTTTAAGTTAGGTTGTGGGGGGGGTTTTTCTCACTAGTCATTTTCATAATATGAAAGTACTGTTTTTCTCTGGGGCACCTCCTAAGTTCCTATTTTACTGATTTCGGTTTTATTTCCTACACCTTAGTCACATCATTGACTACGTTTCCCTTCTAGTTAAGGTATGTTTGAATAAAGGGCTTTCCAGACTTCATCAAAATGAAGTGAGATTTTCTCTACTCACCTCTTATCCTTACTGTTATTCCTATCATAACTAGTACTATAGCATAGCAAATAGCCTCGTAAACACTTGAGGTCAAAATAGATGCCCAAAGGTCATTACAAATGCATTTTTCTGTGTTCATGCATCTCTCCAGGATTAAAATTATTCCATTTCAGCATGTCATATAATGATAAGATAGCTCTCTTGAAGCTCCAGAAGCTTGACAACCCTATAGGTAAGCTACTAGAATAAGTAAAAACAATGTCCTGAAAGAGCCACTGAGGATTTTGTTTCTTTCATTTCAGCCTGTTGTGATCTTCAGAGCTATAGAGTTCATAAATTTGAGGCCAGGGAAAAATTTTATCCCATGACCAAACAGAACAACATAGTGCTGGATATATTGCCAGGAATGACACATACACAGTTTATTTAATCTGTTCCTTCTTGCTGAAAGCCATTAAGTATTTCTGGCTTGTTCTCTTCTCTTCCCAAGGATGATACGCAATGTGTCCAGTTAACTTACATAAGTTGTTGGTGGAACATTGTACATGCAGTATCAGTCTGTAGACTCAGCCTGAAACGCTAAAGAACCTCTGGGCATACATGACTAGATTACAGTTTAGGTTTTTCCAATTAAGATTCCTAACAGGATTGCTCACAAAGCTGAAAGTCCCCAGTGCCTCTGTTCTGGAAAACTTGAGAAAAAAATTCTAGCAATGTCAAGAAGGTGTTGACACTATTAAAAAACTGCACATGGTCTTTAACTAGATGACCCAACAATTATGGGTATTAAAATGGCATTAATCCAAACCACACTCCCTAGATTTGGCTGGAAACCAACCTTATTTTGTGTTTGTGTCTCTGTGGGATCATTAAAGCACTGTGGGTGGAACACGATAGGTCAACTGAAAAGTTATAGTTGTTGAATGAATATTTGCTGATTAATATTCTCAATTATTAATCTAAATTAGAACACTGTACCTGATTCAGGTGGGAGAAATGCTACTATTTTTTCAGAACATCTTACCATTACAAATGTGCCATGATCATGATACCTGAATACCTCACTGTGAATAAACCATCATAAAAAATTTCTCACTTGTAAATTGTTACCTTGGGTTTTTCAATGCTAAGTATGTTCCAGAGCGTAATTAATCTGTTTGTACTAAAGCTGAAAACCTCTGAACTGAATAGCCAAAAGCTGAATGACAATGTGCAAGCATGAGAACCATTATCAATATTTGTTATTAACTTTGTACTTGCTGTTGTCTGCAGACAATGGAAGCCATTGATGGTGGGAAACTCTTTTCCACTGCCTACCTAATGGATTTAGGTGCCTGTATCAAAACATTACACTACTGTGCAGGCTGGGCTGATAAAATCCATGGGCGTACTGTTCCAATGGGTGAGTAGTTTTCAGATAACAAGTACAGAATTGAAGCCAATGTGATCTGTAAAAACCTGCCTTCTTCTAAAAGTGAAACACAAAAAATGCCTCAAATAGAAGATATTTTGGATAATTCTTAATATACTTCTTAATGTATCTTAATATTTAAGATTTTAAAAGGACTGTATTATTGCTTGTTTTAAAATTTAGTACAGTTATTCATATTTATTTCTTGTTCTGTAAAACACTAAACAGTACTGGCTATTCACCAAAATATTTTAGCCTGTATGTGTATGTCTGGTAGGTTACTTTTGCATAGCAATATATAGTTTATGCAATGGCCCTGTAATGAAAACCAGTTATTTGGTTATTAAAGCTAAGACTGGAACGAAGAGTAACATTTGTTTCAGTTACTGGGTAACAGATTAGGAAGAATACTAAGAGATAGGAACATACGGAAACATTCCTTTACGTTGATGAAATCTCATTCTGTTCTCTCTGCTATTAAGCAGCTCTATGAAAACAGTGTTCCTAGGTGCCTCCTCTCAGAACGACAAAGAAAAGGATGGTAATAAAGAAGGAATTAAGGAAAACTAGAGTGATAAATACTTCCAACCTTTTTGCATCACATAGATCTCTATACTAGGCTTAATGGAACACATGTTTATTTGAATCAAAGAGAATTTTATACTTAATGGATTTGATTTAAGCTAAAATCTAATATTAAAAAATGTCTGATATGTACCTAGGATTGCAAGTAGCTTTTAAAAGAGCACTTTCCAAAAAAAAAGGTGATAAAAGGAAAAAGAAATGAGGAATGCTCATTGATGTGCTGTGCATACCATATTGAGAAGCAGGGTTATCACTGCAAAAAGTCAGTTAGACTGGCAGAATCAAACCTTGGAGCTATGAAGAAAGTAGATATTGAAGCCAGATGTACTTTATGGTTGGTTTTTCGCATAGTTAAGATTTTGAAAATATCATTTATAAGTAAAGTTGTATCCAGCTAAGTTTGGTATCCAACTTTATCTTCTTTTTGATTTAACTGCTTCTTGCAAATGCTTTGTCTGAATGTCAAGTTTATTTCTTCTTCCCATAGATGGAAATTTTTTTACATTTACAAGACATGAGCCTATCGGGGTGTGTGGCCAAATTATTCCTGTAAGTTGGATCAATTTATGTAAAACACAAATGTTCCTGTTGCAAATGGGAATGGTTTTGAAACTTTGTCTGTGCAAATCCATTTGTGAAACATTAGTAATCAGAAAATTTCAGGTCCCGAATGATAGAGATTAACCTGAGTAGCCATCAGATTTTTCAACATGGAGTTTTTGATGAATCAGTCCAGTTCAGCCTTGTCTCTCTCTTCCCTGTATATGGAGAAGAATAAATCTTAAACAATTGACTGATGGATTAGTTTGAAAGACAGAAATGTGTTTTGTGGATCTGAAAAAATTAGAAAAAAACAAGTAGGAGAGAGTAATATTTACAATATAAGCTATAAGCAATAAGCTTTTTAGGTTCTGGAATACTTGTTCTACTCTGTACAGCATCCAGACTGGATTTTTATTTATGACTCAGAATCATTCACCGTGTTGATGGTACAGGTAACAACACAGAGAATAAGCACAGTGGTACTGAGCCATATGCTCCCAAGCTCTTGTTCAGAGTGTCTACACTCCCAGTTTTGACGACACATGAGTGAATATTCAAAAGACCTGCCCAAGTGTGAACATACAAATCGCTGAGGAACTCAACTTTTAAACTTATTTGTGAGGCTTACACAGCTTCAGTTGGTTGATATGAAAATGGTTATATGTGATATGCATTCCTAATCCACCCACCTCTTTTCATATGGTAGGTGTGGGCAGGTACCTGACCTGTTCAACAACTTACCAGATCCTGAAATCATAAGCTTGTCTATCAGGTTTGCTTAGACATGTGGGTCCCACACATGTTCCTGCTGTCTTTCAGTTGAGCTTGCAGATTTCCTATCTCTTTAGACCACCACACTGATTTAGAGAACAACAGTGAAATATGGATCCAGCCTCTCAGAAAGCTTGGGAATCTGCTGGTTTAGACTGTAGGTCAGGTTAAAACAAACCACTCAGAGTCAAGATATGCTAATGAACCAGACATATTAGATGTGGCCACTTCAAACAAAATTGCATCCTGCAAGTATGAACACATAGTACAAACACTGACTTCCCTTATAAAATGTTCAGGGACTTCTAAGCATATCTTTATTTTCTCTCTATTTAAATGAGTATGCACCAAGTTGAAGGTTTTTACATAAACCAAAAGTTCTGAGGACTATGTAAATGCTGCAAAACACTGCTGTTATCTCAGCATTTCCATTTCCCTTACTCTTACGCAGTTCCAGTTCAATGATGAAGATCCAGGAAACCTGTAATCCCTTACTTCATGTTATTTGTACTCCTGTTATTTTTGGGGGTGGGGTTAGATGAGATAAGGAGAGAGATAAAGAACATTTGTGTCCTCCAAGCCTTTCTGACAAAATAGGTAACTGTTAACTGCCTTTTTCCCCACTTTCATGAAGGTAAGGCATATTGCATCTTATGTGCTCAGGTTCATGGTCTCAGTGCTTCCAAAAGTAATAGAAATATTCTCAAAGGGGCAACCCATTTTTCCCCAGCCACATTGTCCTTCATACTGCTGCATATGGGGTCCAAAGGAGTCATCTGCTCTGCAGTCTGTCTGGACTGGCCACAATAGAAAGCTGCCATGAAACCTCCAGAAAAGAGGACAGGAGCAGTGTTACCTTGTCTCCCTTAGAAAACTGAATTGATGATGGATGTGATCATTTAAGATAGCAAAAATCCCAATTTCACCACTAATCCAGCAACTTTCTGTAAGGCTTTGTTAGAGGAGTAAAATTCTGTCTCTTGAGCTTTTAACTAAAACCCTGGATCCTCTGTACTCACCTATACTGAAATCACTGGTCTTTGTATAACATGGTTTGCCAGTTGCTTTTTCAAAATATCTTCAATCTGAAAAGAGTTCAACAAAGAGTTCAACCACTCAGTTGACAATTTGCGCTATTATCATAGAAAAAGCAAAGGCATTTGGTGATGTATTAGAAATAGGATACACCATCTCATCTGTCTTTCAGTGGAACTTCCCATTGGTTATGTTCATCTGGAAGATCGCCCCTGCTCTTTGTTGTGGAAACACAGTGGTTGTCAAACCAGCAGAACAAACTCCACTGACTGCCCTTTACATGGGATCCTTAATTAAAGAGGTAAGTTGCCAACAACACAGTTTTTTGCCCTTCTTAGAAATATAAGAGTATACTGCATCTGAAGTGCTACAGAGGTAATATAAGCCAGGCTTGTCCCCTGCAAGTACTTCTCAATGCATGCCTAGACTTGTACTATGGAACTCATCGTACTGTAAACCAGTGAAGCAAATTCAGGGCAAAAGCATGCATATCTTTCAGACATACAAAAAAACCCCAAACCAAACCCACAATAGCAATTTAATAAACTTGATATCCTTAGCAAACATATTTGTATTACAAAAGCATAGTACTTTTCAAAGTCAAAAGCAAATAAGGAGTCAAGAGCAGAGTACTTAGAGCTGGGTAGCAATTACCTTATTAACATAGTTATCACAAAAAAAAAGGACTTGTTTGTACAGTTAATTATTATAAAATTTTAATTGAACAAACTTTTCATCCACCTGGGTTTTTTATTAACAGGAAGCTGTAAAACTGAACTGGTGACTGCTGCCAAATTTGTGAATTCTCTTCACATAGAAACTGGGAGAATAAACTTTGTGCTCTTGAACACAAAGACTGTGGCAGTTTCTCCAGTGTCTCCAAATTTATGTTGACTATTGTGCCCAGCTCAGCAAACACCCAAAGAAAATCAGTTAAATAGTTTAGCTATCTTGGTTCCCAATAAAATCAACAAATGTAATCTAACATGTTTGAAGAGTCGGCAGAGATGTCAACAGTCACCAATGCAGTAACCTTGCAGAGTGTTAATAGAAATGACTTGGCACATTTTATTATTCTGCTTCAAAACAATGATTCAGCAGAGCATACTGACTGGTTATGCGTTAATATTTCACAGAAACTAAATGACTATCAGGAAGAACCCAAGTCCTGCCGTTATTGCATCACATAGTAAATGTTATTAGATAATATTGGGGAGGAGGAATTAGTTTAGAAAAAAAAAATCAGACATACCTTCTCTATTAATTTTTAACAGCGAGTAGAAGTATATTTCTCTGAAAAAAAAAAAATTACAAGGAAAGTAACTCAGTTATGCTCTGAGTCTAATAAAATATCCATTCTAATATTCTGATTTCCTAAAAGGAGAGCTCGTAAGTTGGAATGTGATCAGTGGTTTATTTTGTATGCTCACATTCATAGAATTATAGAATC